GAGCCGCCGCACGCAGCCAAGGGCTGCAGCCGGGGCCGACGCCACTGCTGGGTCCCACTGGCCTCCACGCGCTCCAGTGCTGCCCCATCCCGCCCGCTCGGGCTGAGCGATCCCTTGTGGCCCCACAAGCTCATCCACCTGCCCTGTGCCACATCCCCAGGGCCGCCTGCCACCCACCTGCCCCACTCAGATTCCAGAGGAGAGCCCGGCTCCGTTCCCAGCCATGGATGCGCTGCAGGGCGCCCGGGGAGACGGGGGGCGCCGTGCCCCGTGTTGGGGCTTTGTTTGCAGGGAGCAGGAGCGGGGAGTTTGCTCTTAGTACCGGGATGAGTCCAGCAAACACTCCCACGGCAGTTATTGGCTCCGCACATGCACGCACATGCTGGGGCCAAGCGCAGGGACGGGTTGAATCCTGCAGCGAGATCCGCTGGGCTGGGATCCTGCTGGCAGCACTTGCAGCTCCGTCTGGCTCGGGGAGCTGTGACGAGCCCGGGGAAAGCCCGGGACATGGGTTGGGTGAAACTTCCTGCCAGGGAATCATGAGAGCTGCCTGTTACCTGGGTTTTGAGGGATCCTGCCCTAATGCTACTTTTGCAGCCGAGCATCGGTCTCTGCTTCCTGAAGCAACATGCAGCTCCCATCCCATTGCTTGGAGCTGCTCCTGCACAGGAGCTTCCCCCAGGCTCGAACAAGCAGCAGCAGCGAGCTGGGAAGGGAGCCTGTGAGCAGCAGGACCATCCCAACGGTGCTGGCAGCCCTGGAACTGTTTCTAGAGCAAGATCCAAGATCTGGAACCCTGTGGATGCGGACAGGGCAGGAACTCGTGTCTGTCTACCTGCTGTTTCCCTGATGCCGCCCGCCCGGCGTGGGCAGGGGTGTTTGCAGTGTGTGCGGGCACTCGCAGTGCGCGCTCGTCGGAGACAAGGAGCTTCTCAAACAGACGCCGGACCTTGTGGGTTTTATTTTCTCCAGGAAGTCAAACAGGGTGAGGGTACTTGTCCCAGTGGGACAGGGACATCCGTGTCTGGGGACCAGCTCCGGTGCTGGGAGCCGACCTGCACGTCCACGTCACTTGTCCCCATGCACAAGCATGGGGTGCAGCCCGGAGTGCTGAAGAGGGTTTCCGAGCGGACCGGAGCCTCCCTGTGCCCGGGAGCTGCCTGGGTGCATTTTTCTTGCCTATCAGCAGCATCAGGAATTTCAGCTATTTTGCAAAACCCGCGTGGCATGAGAAAGCCTAGGGCTTGGGGGCTGTGACCTGAGAGCCGGAGAACTCGCAGTGCGTCGGAGACAAGGAGCTGCTCAAACAGACGCCGGACCTTGTGGGTTTTATTTTCTCCAGGAAGTCGAACAGGGCGAGGGTACTTGTCCCAGTGGGACAGGGACACCCGTGTCTGAGGACCAGCTCCGGTGCTGGGAGCCGGCTTGCACATCCACATCACTTGTCCCCATGCATGAGCACGGGGTGCAGCCCAGGGTGCTGCCCTGGCTGAAGAGGGATTCCGAGCAGACCGGAGCCTCCCTGTGCCCGGGAGCTGCCTGGGTGCATTTTTCTTGCCTATCAGCAGCATCAGGAATTTCAGCTATTTTGCAAAACCCGCGTGGCATGAGAAAGCCTAGGGCTTGGGGGCTGTGACCTGAGAGCCGGAGAAGTGAAGTGCAGCAGGGAGGACAAGGAGCAACGCCCAGGAAGCCGGAGTTCTCCTGAAGCAGCCCTGGCCTCCTCATTTCCCAGCAGTGATAAAATCGCTCTGATCCCTCCTGCCCTGAAGGGGCCGAGTTTGGGCAGCATTTCGGGAGGGGACACGTCCCCGGCTCGACCCCTTGGGGCATCCTGGCGCTGGCCCCAGCCTGCAGCATCGCGGCACAGCCCCAGCGGGCCCTTTTTGGGCAGATTTCCCCCGGGGCACCTGGGTGGGGACAAACCCCCGGGGCTGCCGCATGCCGGCCATACTGGGGTGCCCCAGCCAAGGCTCGGGGTTGTGCCTATCTGTGGCTTTTCCCCGTGCCTCCCCTCTGCACATGGAGCCGGTTGTGGAGACCCCCAGACCCGGCTCCTGCTTTATCCGGTGCGGATGCAAGTCCCCGGTGCCCTTGCGAATGCTCAGCCCCTGCAGTGCGTTTTTGGGGCCCAAGTTGAGCTCCTTCATCATGGAAATAGTTGAGCAACAGGGCTCTTGTCTGCCAAGTGCCGGTAGGAACCAACCTCTCAAGGGCTCCTCAAGAGGGTCCCGCGCAGGCGCTGCAGGACCGAGGCACTCTGCAGCTCCAACTCGCTGCCTTTGACCTCCTGCCCCGTGGGGAGGACAGATCTAGTGGTGTTAAAATGCCCTTTTGCCCAAATTCAAGACTTTCTTCTCCCAGGGAAGGGCCTCCTGGGCCAATGCAAACTGCAGGGGGATGATGCAAGGGCTGGAAAATACCATCCTTTTACTGTAGCTTTCCCCAACTCTCATTGCTTTAACAGTGCCACCCATGAACCAAACACCACGCGCCCCAGGGAGACCCTCCAGCCTCCAAGCCCACAGTGATTCCCACAGCACCGGCCGGGGCAATTCCAGCTCCTTTTGGACCCTGCCGCCGTTCCCGGCGCTGATGCCGGCTGGGATGTGGGGCCCCGCGCCGGGCGGCGCCG